TCAAGAAGCTTGACAGATGCCTTTGAGGCAAAAAAGGGACTCCAGCAGAAGCCAACTCTCACCAGCCCATCTCTTCACCTGCAGGACTCCAACTGGGAACGATACATTATTTGGAAAACACGGGAGACACGCTGAAACTTGCATGAAAATCGTGATGTGGCAAAACGCTGGCGGGATTTGCATTAACCTGCCAGACGGTCCCGCACAAGGATGATACACAACGCGATACCAGTGCAAGTTTCATGAAACTTTTTATTCAACAAGTATTTCATTATGATTCTGCCAAGATGATCGAATGAACAGCAAGGCATAAAAAACATGAAATAGTTAAGAGATTTTATTCTAATAGCTTTAATTACAGTGCTTGTTTGTCGAAATGAAAACTGAAAACAAGTATACAAAACAGTTGATTACTAATCGTGTACTGAAAGCAATAAAGGTTTCCACAACACTAAATAAACCAGTTCTGATAGTTCCTCGAGTTAAAGTTTGAACAGCTCCAGCTTCTTCAGTGTTTATCAAAATACAAAAGAAAAGTAAAGAGGTCTTTTTACTGATGGCAAATCTGAACCTTGCAGTATGAGGGATGCCAAGGGTTTTCACACATATACAGATATGGGATTGTTCCAGAATGGGATTGAATACTTCTAGAGTGGAATGACTCTCCAAACTCTCATGCTTTTTTGTTTTGTTTTGTTTTTTTTTCCTAGATGCTATACATAGATGTTTGGTGGTTTTCATGGCAATTCTAACGTTAAGTACAGTACTTTCTGCCTATAGAGCTTAGGACCAGTAGAGGCTGTGCTTTCTGTGGAAAGGTTTGCCTTCTGGAGTGGTTTACACACAAGAAAAGTACAAAACACTTTTGACGAGGACGACAGGCTAAAAATGTGACTTCTGGAAATTATTCAAGTTCAACGGAAGCGATAAATCTCACCTGAACCAACGGTCACAAGTTTAGCGTGAGTCTGCAAGCTCATCTAAACCGGGTCCGACACATCTTTTAATGAGTGTGAACAAATACATGAGCACATACCATGAGCCACAGAAAGAGCCAAAGATCTACCAGTTATGATCTGTTCTTTAACCAGATGAAGCTAACTGGGTGTCAATCATCGCTTCACCATTTCAAAAGAATCGAAAGTCACCGCGTTAGAGCTTAGAACAGCAGAAGCTGCGTCAAACGTCTGCGTGTTGAAGTGTTTTTACTTTTCCTTGACTATTTAAAAAAAATACAGAATTTGGGTTAAAAACCAACCCCCAAAATGGATCTCACAGATCTCACAACCCAGCTGAGATAGTGTTCAGCTCTACTGCACAAGGACCACTGGCAACCCTTATGGTAACCCACTTAAATCCCTTCCACGTACTGAACAGTGAGTTGATTCTTTACAATAAAAAAGCTGAGTAATATTGCATAGGAGTACCAGAAACTGCCTCATTGGAAACAAAAACTATTTACATTAAATAAGAAACCTAACTGTTTTCAGGCTTGTATTTGCCACATTTACAGCATGATGCAATATATACTGTGACAAAAGGAATGAAAACAGCTTCCGGCACTCGATACCACAAAGTAGCACAGTTTGCCACATTAGAGTAAAGCGAAGGGCGAACAGGAGGAAATAAGAGGGAGGGGTGGAAAAAGAGGGAAGAGGAAGGTTTATGGTTTCATTTCTGGTTTCGGAGCTGATTGGACAACCAGTCCAGTCCTTCATAGAGACCGTCTCCACTAGTGGCACAGGTTGCCTGGATATACCAGTTCCTGTGACGAAGAGAATGCAGTCCGAGTTTGTCTGTGATTTCTGCTGCATTCATGGCGTTCGGCAGGTCCTGAGGGAAGGAAGAAGAGTCATTTTCTCCCCTGCTCGAGAAGAAACGCCCACCTCCCTAAACCCTTTCTGATCATCAGCTTTAAAGCCATTAAAAGAAAGTTGAGAGCTCTTGGAGCTTCTCTTTCAGAAAGTCACCTCTATGTATTCGAGCTACTTCCCCTGTACTGACAAAAGCCTCAGAGGTTTAACACCACGACCAAAAGCGCGTATTATGGGACACTTCTCTTCAGAAAACAGAAATGAGACTGCTGACGTTGGCATCAAGTCATCAAGCCCCTCAGGGCTGACCCAAAACTGCTTACGACTCAAAGGGCATGGAAAGTGATGCACTTTCCACTCAGGAAATGTTTTCTGCGACTGCAGTTACGATTCAAGCTCAGCTTTGATCACAAAGTACTACTCGTCTCAGTACTCGCTTTGTGGCCCAGGAGAGTCACAAGGACATTTAAAAGTCACCCCAGTGCTGCCACCAACACCAGCAGTGCCCTCAAACACCCTCACTGAAGAATTCAGGAAGGTTCTGGCATTCCTCTCTGTTTGGAGAAAGCCGGGGCAGGTGCCGTACTTGAGTCAAGTCAACCTCAAAAAACAAAACTAGTAGAACTCCTCCCTAAAACTGAAAATACAAGAATTTCTATTAGCCAAGACTGTTTAGAAGGGTGCTCCTTTCGGGTGAGAACGGGGTAATTTAATCTATGGGTTTGCTGTTTTGCCAAACTCAATGGACATAAACTGAGAGCTTATCTATTATTACACAGAAAACACGAACGTCGAGTTCAAGATCTAGTACTCACGAGTACGTTGCATGTTTTCAAGAGTTCTTACAGAAAGACACCTTTCTTGGGCATACCTGTTTGTTAGCAAACACTAATAAAACAGCATCTCTGAGCTCATCTTCTGCCAACATTCTCATAAGCTCTTCTCTGGCCTCGTTCACTCGTTCTCTGTCATTACTGTCAACCACAAAAATCAGACCTAGAAATAAACAATGAGAATGAGCATACACCAAAAGTTATTTACAAATTACAACTACTTCTGGAGGACAGAACTAAGCTTTGAAGACAAGATGATGGCAAAACAATTCAGTATACATCAGAAAAATACAGTTTTCTTGTTATTGTAATCTCATGTCTCAGAGAAAGTCTTTTCTTGCTGAAAGCTGGTGAAAGCAGGTGTTGTTTTGTGGTTTTGGAACTTGTGTGCTTCATCTACGTAACTACTAATATTGCCCAGTGAGTAGCAACTCTTAAAATCCTGTGATAGGACTCAAAAGGTGCAGCAGTGGAAGAAGTGACAAGCTCTCAGTTCATGGGGCTGCTGGAGCTTGTAGTAAAGACTCTGCTTTGAAGTGAAGGCAGAGAGCTGTGACGCTTCCAGAAGAAAAGCAAAATTCTCAACTCGCTCTGAGTCAGATAGACAAGGAAGACTGGTTTCTAGATTTCTTCCCACCCCTCTTTGAACCTGCACTAGCTAAACAAAAGAGCCAGACCAGCACACAAACACACCCTTTTATAATAATATTTCCCCTGCCTCCCAAGACACTCACAAGATTATCATAGTATGGACATTAAAAAAAAACAACGAACTTTCTAGATTCTGGAAACCTGTGATTTAAGCGTTCAGACTCACCTTGTGTGTTCTGGAAATAATGGCGCCAGAGTGGTCTGATCTTATCCTGACCGCCTACATCCCAGACCGTGAAGCTAATGTTCTTGTATTCTACTGTTTCCACATTGAAACCTAAAATAGAAATGGTGGCAAAAATCTCAGTTAAACATAGCTTGCCTTGGACCTCTTGTATTTACCAAGTCACACTCAGAAGGTCATCATTAAAGAGTTATCTTAAAATTTAAATCTACTTGAAAGCAGAATCCTACACTGAAGCCCTCGAAGCAGACAAACATGGGCTGTCTGGAACTCCTGCTCCCACCACCACCCCACTGCCATCAAATAATGAACAATAGCTCTAACTGCTACCTGAGCAGCCACAAAATGCACAGCAAACTATGCTGCATCAAAAAATCCCGGGCTTTAAGGACTGCAAATAAGGTACGTCTCTGATCACATAGTTCTTGCAGTCACCCTCAAAAAAAAAAAACCAACCAGTGTCACCCTCTGCTTCTCAGTCTAATCTACTCGATGTCACAACACGCTTAGGGCAGCCAGCCAGCCCTTCTGTGGCTTGTTCCACAAGTGACTGAAGACAGGGAATGGAGCGAAAAAACAGTGTCATGGAATCTCCTCCCATGCCAGAACATTTGGCTGTGCTGCCTTCACACCAGGGTTTGAGCAAGTGTTTGTTCTGACAGTCGAGTCGGGGCACAGCACTAAATCACTTAAATCAGCAGAGCAGCAGCTGAGACAAGATACTGCTGCAAACAAGACCCAAATCCCAAAGCAAGGAGCTACACAAACGGAAAAATCTTACCTATAGTAGGAATAGTAGTTACTATTTCACCAAGTTTAAGTTTGTACAAAATAGTCGTCTTTCCTGCAGCATCCAGACCAACCATTAGAATACGCATTTCTTTTTTGCCAAAAAGGCCTTTGAAGAGGTTAGCAAAAATATTTCCCATGCTTGAGAGATGTTCTCACTGGCCAGTTAAGTCTAGAAGAAAAAGATCACAGTGTCACTCATGAGTTACCAAGTCATAATCAACCACCACAAAAGTGTCAGATAACACGAATCCTTTACACACGCGACTTTTCCCCACACTGAAGCAACACAAAGATGAACAGGTGGGCCAAAACTTAGTGCTTGTAAAACGACACAGCTTTGAGTGCTCTGTATCTTTCAAATATGCTTTCAGAGATGTTTGGTACTAAATGCTGTTCTCAAACTTTTGTTTGTAAAATTTGTGGTTTGCTTTCAATGCCACTGACCACTTCGGGGACTTCGTCCCCCCTCATTGTTAAGGGATAATTTATGTGCAGCCTGAAGCGTCACCATAAAATACTTTTTTCTCATCGACCTGCAGTTAAGTTTTTAAAAGCGTGTTCGTCTCTCTGCTGTTCAGTGCGCCAATACCTACTCCTTTTGCAAAGGAAACTCAGAACACAGCTTGGATTCTCTCCTACTCAAAAGAGTTTCCTTCCTCCCAAACCCTGAGGAAGGGGTCTGCAAACACAACGTAAACACAAAGCACTATTAATTTCATTAACGTTGGAGGGAAACCTTCTCTAGGAAGCAAATCCACATTTACTGACACTTAACTATCAAAAATTAATAGCCACATTAAAAGAGGCCAGTTTAGAAATGAATGCTTCTTCCTTCACTGCAAACACTTCTGCTTGGACACTCAGAAGCAATTAACACCATCAGGAGCTTCCTGTTTCAGAACTGGAGAAACTGCCTCTCTGCAGCCGCTCCCTGCGCCCTTGGGATGGGATCCACCCTACCACAACTTGTCCACTTATTCCCTTCTTCCACAAGTTTCTCCCCCTTTTCCAAGCTTCCTACTACACAGTTTACAGCCAGTTTGAAATCACCACAAGAACTATTATTCTACTCACACAAGGCGTGAAAAAAAAAAGCTTTACAGTGGGTTGTAGATGAGGATGTTACACGGTGATAGTGAAGATTCACACATCTCCACTGCTGCTTTGTCTCGAAGCTCTCAGATGTCAGTTTAAAAAGAAGAGACTGAACTGAAAATACAAGCTTCAGACAGTGAGAGTACATACAGCCAAGACGTGTAACATTCAAAGGATGGGCTTCCTGTAAACCAAATCACTCAATTTAAAGCTCAACATAAACTTTGAATCATATCATAGAATCACAGAAGGGTTTGGGTTGGGAGGGACCTCAAAGATCACCTAGTTCCAACCCCCCTGCCATGGGCAGAGACATCCTCCACTACAACAGGTTGCCCAAAGCCTCATCCAACCTGGCCTTGAACACTTCCAGGGATGGGGCAGCCACAGCTTCTCCAGGCAACCTGTTCCAGTGCCTCACCACCCCCACAGGGAAGAATTTCTTCCTTAGATCCAATCTAAATCTCCCCTCTTTCCGTTTAAAGCCATTGCCCCTAGTCCTGTCACTACACGCCCTTGTAAAAAGTCCCTCTCCATCTCTTGAAAATATTCTTTCATGATGAAGCTGTGTGCTTGAAGCAAAACTCTCTCTGGAAACAGACTTTACAGAGTAACTGCAAAGCACACCACGGAACAGAAATCTTGTCCTTGCTCTGCTTAGCTCCACACTAGGGATGTACAGAGTCTGGCCTCCTCACTCGGCACTGTCAAAGGTCTGAGCAGTCCGGCCCTCCTCAGGAAGCTCGGCTGGATCCGATTTTTAACCCAGAAGCACTGTAACATTAACTAAGTCACATGTCTTAGCACAAGCAGCTCCACAGTGAAGTTCAAAGTCCACTCCAGAGTTCCTGAATGACATCAATCACCACTTCGACTTGCTGCAGTAACTCAAGTCAAAGATTTATTTATTCTATATGATTGAAGCTCAATGCAATCAAAACTGTAGAACTAAGCTCTGCTGTAAACCAGACAAGGCAGCCTGCGGATTAAAACTAAAGGGAAGGTTTAAAAGCTCTGTTATTCCACTATTTCCTTCATATTTCCGAAGCACGACCATGAATTTTCAACTCCCACGTGAATATATGAAAGCTATATAAACAGGAAAGTTAATTAGGAAGTAGAAAAAACAGTTTTGCTAGAGTCCCTGTTTATCCAAATCGCTCACACAGCAGGAAATCTCACTCCCCAGCCCACAGCAGCAGCTCTTACTGGGCTGGAGGGGAGGGAGGCTGTAAAGCTTTCCTCTGGCTGCTCGTGCCACCACTGTCTTCTACTTCACCTGAAAACCAATCAACAGGGTTGAACCGTAACCTTTTACCAGAGCTCCTGTAACCCTCCAGAATGAGTGTAAGAACTTTTGTAGCAAAAGAACCGTACGAGTCCTGCAAAAGAATGCATTTCTTGTGTTTCTGCATGTTTAAAAGCATAATAGGTTATTAAATGATCAACAGCAGTAACACGTAACAGGAAAATCTTGGCGTTTACATCCACGAAGTTTTTTTACACCCTGGAGAAGTCACAGGCTGCTGAGAGATGCTTATACTTGGCACTAATGATAGTGAATCCCGTTAGATCCTTGTTTTTCTGGCAGCTATTTCCAGGTCAAGCCTGCCCTTCACCACTGAAGCTGCTTTTATACCACCCATCCTCCCTTATTTCTACTTTTTGTGAAGAGTAAGAAGTTAAGATACATTTAAGCACTTGGTTTCCATTTCCTTCTTGTTCCCTTCCACACTCCTACTATCCAAACCACTCCTGTATCTTATCTGGTACTTCAGGGTAGGTGACACTGCAGAACATCCAATTTATTTTTACAGGCAGTGAAGTGCAGTTTACAGCCCACCCCTGCAAGATGAGTGTGTTTAGATGTTGACTAGAAAGCAGCAGTATCATTGCTGTCTAAAAGGAAAATACTAGGAGAAATCCATCTGCAGAATCTTTAAACTGTTGTGGGTCTCACCAGTTAATTGTTGGATGCTGCTGGGGCAAAACAGAGGGCCTCTGCCTTCACCATCTGCAGGACCATTCTCTGACCAGCTGCTAGAATCACCTCCATCTATTGCCACAGAAAAAGAAATTGCACTCCCACATTTTTGCACATTGCACTCCTCTGCCTGCACTGCCCGTGCCAGTATTCCATTATTTTCTATCATCCAAGCAAAGGCACCTCAAGTTCCTTTCCCAGTGTCAATAAAATCCTCAACCAAACCATCACCATGGCTGTGACCAGCCATCAGGTCTCTGCTTTTCAGACCATTCCAGTCCACCAGTGCAGACGCTACGGCAGCAGAAACTGCCTCCCATTAATACAGCTCAGCTGTGGGATCACGCGATTACTTCCAGCAAACTTCTGAGCCGAAGCTGCTTCCTGCAACTCTCATTTTAGGCCATTAGCTGGACTAGGAGAACTAGAGAACTAACACACACAGTCTCAAAACACAAGGAAATTTAAGGCCCGTTTAGGTTAACCAAGCAATCCTGCTGCTTTTCAGGCATCCTCAATATTTCCAGTCTATACAAGACTTGCTGAGGTATTGCCTGTATTCCACACTGGAGCTTACTCTTCTCTTTTCCTCCACTCAAATGTTGCCAGTAATTCCTCCACTGATCATCGGAGCAGCACGAGTTCAATAAAACGCCTGAAAACATAAAAGGCTGTGGCTTGCAAGCTGCTCGTAGTACTCCAGCACATCTTCAGAAGACATATCCATCGGGCTAAGTGAGAAGATTTGTGTATGAAAGACAATCTGAATGAACAGCACGGACTATTTTTGCTGAGTTCGTTCCCTCAGCAGGACTGCCGTTTCTAGAAATGGAAGCTCACCGCCCCGCAACAAACCCGGATCATCCCAAAACTGAACTGTTTGACCTGTGTTTCTCCTGGTCCATTGGAGCACATCATCTACTCCACCTCGAGATCCTCACAGCAGTAGGAACCTGTTAGGCAGGTTCAGGTAAGATACAATGTGCCATTGGTAAACAGTGAGAAAGACATCCCCTGGATAAGACGGCAGTTTTGTTTCTGGAAACGAGGTATTTTCAGCAGACGGTTTTCCAGTAAGTGACACATTCAGATAAACCACCAGGAGCAGAGCAGCCTTTTTTCAGAAAGGCTCAGTGCAATGGGTTAAAAATGAATGAGCGTCTGCAACAGCGGGCAGGCTGATGTCTGTTAAAGCGATATGGCCCGTGAGTAAGAACGAGAATTTGCTTTTATTAATTGTAGGTGGTTAGAATAAAAGTTCTGGGGAGTATCTCCAGGCCAAAGATCATTCAACATTTCATCTTCTGCAGCATTTGGCATTTAACCGTACGTTAATGCATTTTAATGTCATTTCATTCAGGCTGCTTATCCTGAGAAGACAAACACACTTCTTGACCTCCAAACTTCTTGGATGAACTGTTAGTTAACAAGCCATCCCACACAAATATGACCAGAGAGGTATGCAGTAAGTTACAGAAAGTATAGCTACACCTTCAACTCTCTGCATAATCTTTATTTTGAACCTCCAGAAAAGTTCTTTCTGACCACGGAGAGACTAAAAACTTCACCGAGCCAGGTTTCTTTCAGGTTTACACCATTTCTTTAACCATACCATAGGAGACAAAATCAGAAGCTCATGCCATATGCATTAGTCAAATTATGCCTGCAGTAGAGAAATATATTTATTTCACTTCTATGTACCAACACTTATCACACAAGGCTCCTACAGGGAACAAACGATTAAAACTTTTCAAGTGGCACAACCAAACTTGCTGGGCACAATTGTTTTGGCAATCCATTCTCCGCAGTCGAAAAACACCAGCAGTGATGAAGATCAGTTAGGAAAAGCTTAATTCCCTCCATTCTCTGCACAGCACACCAAGGTACAGAGGGAATTTGTTGTCTCTGGGAACCACTACGTCTCCTTGGGACGTTCCTATCTTTTTTTAAATGCCCATTTCAAGGACAGATGAACATGGTGCCACTACCAATGACACACTGGATTACACAGTTAATATCAGTCAAAATACTAATGCTAAAGCACAAGGGTAAAAAAAAAAAACACACACAAAACTAACAGTTGCAGGTTTA